CAAGGAGGAGATCCGGGCAGCCAACAAACATATAAAGAAATGTTCATGATCACTAGCCATTAGAGAGATGCAAATCAAAACAAGGAGGTATCGCCTCACACCAGCAATAACTGCAAAGATAAAAAAAGCAGAGGACAATAAATGCTGGCGGGGATGTGGAGAGACTGGGATGCTCCTGCACTGCTGGTGGGACTGAAAAATGGTCCAACCTCTCTGGAAAGCAATATGGCGCTTCCTCAGAAGGTTAGAAATAGAAATACTTTATGATCCAGCAAATCCTCTAATGGGTATTTACCCACAAGAAATACGAGCCATGTAACCCATGTAGATATATGCACACCAATGTTCACAGCAGCACTATTTACAATAGCAAAAAGATGGAGACAGCCTAAGTGCCCATGAACTGAAGAATGGATAAAACAAACTGTGGTACATACACACAATGGAATATTATGCTATCTTGAAGAATAACAAGGAAGCTGCAAGCCACCGCATAACATCGATGAAAGTTAAGGACATTATGTTGAGTGAAATTAGTCACAAAAGGAGAAATATTGCATAAGACCACTACTGTAAAAGACTAAGAAAAAGAACCCGTACTAAAGGGGCTCTGGAGGGGATTCTTTGCTGGTTACCAAGAATGGGAAGGGAGGGGAAGGGTTAACACAGGGTAGGGAATAGACACAAGATGGTTTGGGTGCTAGGGAGAGGGGCAATACATCAGAAGGGGGAGGGGAAGGGAAGAACAAGGAAGATGGAAAAACAGTTAAGCAGGTTTGCATAGGCTAAGTGGAACTGAGGTAGATAATGATGTATGCACAACCAAGGAACAACATTGCAACCATGTCTCAATCCCTCAATATAGGGATTGAGACATGGTTGGAATGGGCAAAAGAGGGCAAATAATGTTGAGATGCTTGGTTGTCTTTTGAATTATGGATTCCCTGAAATATCATTATAAAATAAGACACTTGAGGGGGAGAGAAAGGAATAGCCAGAAATATCACCATGAAAAACTTCTAAGTCCATCTTTTGCCTATAACTGATTGGAATACCTAAAACGTGGCTACAATGTGCCCAGTGAAGGAGGCTTCCTGTGGAGCCTCTGCATTGCATAAGACCAAAGGTGGAATCATGAACAGCACCCAGAATCTTCTGAGGTGGTAAATTTCCACTTGAAAGGACAAGCAGACCAGCCTGGGCTGCTAGAAGAACAGACGATACTTCTTGAAAGAAAGACCGACAGGAAAAACACAAAACAATAATGGCAGTTGGACTGATTACTACAAGAACAAGCAAGTTGCTTGTCCAAGAGACATCAAGGCAAGTGGCCGGGTCCCCTCAGGGCAAAACCCCTTCCAAGACTAAGACTCAATGGGAATACACAAGCAGACAGGCACTCTGATTGGTGACCACATTGGTCACCAATAAGGAGAAGTGAGGGGAAAACAGCAATGAAGCTGTGAGCTAAGCCCTACAACATTCAATAGATTCCTGTGAACCTGGATGGAGACCTGGTTGGCCAGCAGTGTGGCAAGAACTGGGGACTCTTGGGCCCAGAGTCAGTGACATAGCCACAGAGGACTAGAGTGGAGAGTGACGCATCCAGCTGATAAGAAGAGAGGGCATATGCACAAGAACACCCACACTTGCAGATAATACCCACTTGACCTACCTTCAATGACTGGATGATCAGAGGTCAACTAGAAGAAGAAAGAAGAGGAAAAAAAGAATAGTCTGATACAACTTGATAAACTTAACCTACACCTATAGATGTAGTAGCTCAAAAGAAGGAACAAATCTTTACAGCTAGAATCATTCCCACCCTCTCCATACACAGAGTAGGCAGGGATGGGCAACTTGGACATTGGTTACCCAAAATGGGGAGGCTACAAAGGCAAGAAGTGACTGACTTATAAGCTTTCAAGAGGGAGCCTAGATCCAGAGGGCGTGGAGGAAGGCAGAATCTCCCCTGAGTAGTACCCAACCTGTTTGGGCAGGGCTGATGAAAGGAGCTGGGGATACATCTCTTGTGCTACAATAGTGAATAACTGTTATCATGACTGACTGTGAGGGTTAGAAATGTAAAGGTAGATGTTTTTTAGCAAAAGGATGGGAGTGATTGACTTTGCAGTCCAGGAGTGGAGTTCCCTGGGACCATCAAGGGAGAAGAGAGGAGTTCAGGACCTTACCCAGAGAAATAGTGATGCCAGAGGTGGAGGCAGAGACAATGATGTGGAGAGATGGAGCGGCTGGGGACTCTAAGCCCAGAGATGGAGAGGGCCTGTGTGTTGATGATCGAGGGTCAGGCTTGCAGTGTATGCCCTTTGGTTGGTTGGTGATGCATTGAGGGTACTGTAATCATGGCAATAAAACAATATACGATAGGATGAATGTAAAGCTAATGTTCGCCCATGTAAACTATCACATAGTTCACAATAAAACATTTAAAAAAAAACAAAAACAGGCGAGTGGTTAATCTTACAGCCCAGAAACGGAGGACCATAGGACCATCAAGGGAGAAGAGCAGAAGCAGAATGCAGGACCTTATCCAGAGAAGCAGTGATGCCAGAGACAGAGGCAGAAATGGGAACATGGAGAGAGGGGGAGTGGCTGAGGACTCTAGATTAATGGGCTGAGAGGGACTAAGAGCTGGTGGCCAGGAGGCAGACTTGCAGAATGTGCCCTTTGGAGATGTAAATTATTATATATACCTGAGTGGGTTTTTTTTGTTGTTGTTGTTTTTTAAATGCTAAGGAGCTCTGGTAGCATAGTGGTTAAGAATCAGGCTGCGAAGCGCAAGGTCAGCAGTTCGAAACTACCAGCTGTTCCGCGGGAGAAAGATGAGGCTTTCTGCTCCTGTAAAGATTTACAGCCTCGGAAACCCTGTACAGGTTTGCTATGAGTCAGAACCGACTCCACGGCACACAACAACAACAACAACAAAGTGGATAGAGAGAAATATTGTTAACTGATGGTACATGGAAAGGATTATAATCATTGTAGTAAAACAAGGTGTATGATTTGTTGAATGTAAAACTGATGGTCTGCCCTGTAAGCTTTCAATCAATACACAATTAAAACCTTACAAAACAAAACAAAAAACTCATTAAAGAAGTAAAAAATACTCCTTAGATGTTTTCGTAAAAATGTTCAAGATAAACATAAGTTGTTTTCATAAAATTTAGATCACACCTGAAAACAACATAAAAGTAAAATGTGAAACCTTTCATGACCATTAACATAAATCACTGAAAACAATTTTTTAAAAAAATACACAAAACTAAAAAGCTGTTGCGAAGTAACTTACCTGAACAAGATGAATTAGTGTTGTCAAAATAGCACATCTCAACATATTGTGTTCTTCACTCTGCTTCCAAAGAAGAGGCAAATACTGTACCAAACATCCTACATATGGTCGTATCTATAACATAACAGAAATAGGGAAGCAACAGAATTTAATTACTAAAGAAGGCAAATTACTTTGAAAAGCACTATAAACCTCCAAACAGCAAGTACTCAATAATTATTAGATGCTTTGTTAAGTATATGTCCTTTTAAAGATAAATCAGACATTAACTACAGACAAAAGCCTCGCTGGCAAATGTTTTTAAATAATTTTAAACAGGCAGCACATTCATTTAATGAACTAAAATTTATTAAATACTAAACAATATAATGAGGTCCATTAAATCTTTGGAGGTTATAAATAGAAAATAGGGTTAAATCCTGTATCTTTTTTAATATAACAGCTTACCTAACTAGAAATTACATTATTTTAAAAAGAGCAAGAATTATCTGTTTGGCATCTTCTAAGTATCAGGCACTGGGAAAAACGGATGTACAGAGAAACATTTAAGTCCTTACATTACAAAAAGATAGAGAGCAATAATAAAGGTATACAGGTATTATAGTGAAAACACAAGGGAAAGAAACCATTTTCAAAGGACACAACTGGATTAAAACTATGGATTAAAGTAATCATTTGAAAATAACATAAACCCAGAAGTCAACAATAGCTTGAAAGTGAATTTCCTGAAATAGAACATGTATCTGCAGTTCTAGTCTTAGGACTGCAGTGTTCAAAATTGGTATGAAACAAAAACCCTCAGGGGCGAAACAAGTACTAGAGCTCCACAGCGGTAATACTATCTATTTTAATGCCAGGGATTAAAATTTTTAATTAATTCTAGAAAGGGTTAAAGTTTTCTTGGTCTGCTTCTAAATTATCATGCATTAAATAAGTAGTAAGAAAACTGTAAGGATTCTTTTCCTTCTTAAGGATTGTTGTTGTTAAGTGCCGTCAAGTCGGATCCAACCCATAGCTTAGGGAGTCACAAAAAGGTAAATTAAATATTTGCTCAAATATTTCAGTAAGATAAAGCTAAAAAAATATTAAGAGTCACATTGGATATATTACCTTACTTTCAAAATCTGAACCATAGTATTATTGGAGTTAAAACTTACTGAATACTTACTCAATTTTGTTAAGTGCTCACTCTCAAGTTAATTCCAATTAGCTTATAAAAGCAGACCAATTAATACATGAAAACTTGGGCTTCAAAATAAGTACCTAATTTATTGATACATAACTATAAACAGAATATAACACTAGGCTCTAAGGAAACTAAGCTGCTTTAAAAACCCAAAATCATAAAAACAAGATCAGGCTTGCTGATCAGATGGAGGCTGGTAGAACCACAAGGCTACAGCCCTTGATCACCATTCAGGTCTGGAAATGAATTCACCCCCAGTGATGAATATTCAGTCAAGTGGCAGGTATACAGGGGTAACAGCAAGAGCAGTTACTAGTAAGGTATGGACATCATAGAATAGTAACCATTTGAGATCATAAGGGCAGCATATACTCAAGGATCAAGTTCAGCAGGTTGAGAAAGGAGGAGGAATGGAAACAGGAAACACAGGGAGGAAGTAGGATAAGTGATGTCACACTGAGGGGATTACAGTCATTGAAATGATATGTATGATTGGTTGAATATAAAACTGATGACCTGTTCTGCAAGCCTTTCACAAAGAAACAATTAAAAAGGAAAAGAAAAGCTGGTTTTAAACAAGTGAGAATAAGAAAATGTGAAAGGGAAATGTATGCTACGAATTATGCAAGAGGGATTAAAATCAGGTACAAGTTATATTTTAAATATTGAAAAAAAATTTATATTATAATCCTAATTATTATTGGATTGGAATACAAAGAATGAAAACAAAGAATAAAGATGTACAGTTGGAACATATGGCCTTGGTAATAGAAACGATGCTGGGTATCACACGGTAGAATTTTGCAAGACCGATGACTTCTTCATTAAAATCAAGAAGTCAAATGACACATGTCTGCTGTCAAAGACCTTCTTCAAGTGTTTAAAAGAGCCACAATGTGTCACTTTGAGAACTAAGCCATGTTATTTACAATTACCTCATATAGAAGTCCCACTACTCGTATGTATCTTCAGAGTACTGTGGCAGCTTACATGTTGCTATGATACTGGAAGCTAAGCCATCACTATTTTAAATTACAACAGGGTCACCCACTGTAGACGGGTTTCAGTGGAGCTTCCAGACTAAGGCAGACTAGGAAGAAGAAGAGGCAGCCTACTTCTAAATGTTCTAAATGTTTAGCCACTGCTACTCATAAACACTCACAGTGTTTAGCTACTCACAAACCTTATGAGTAGCAGTGGAACATTGTCAGATATAGTCCTGGAAGACAAAAACATGAATAGCACCAGGACATTTTCAGGCAGTGCCCTATAATGAGCTGCCTCCTCAAAGTAAAATTGACCTTAATGACGTGACTGGAGCAAAGCTTTAGGGACCTACATTTGCTGACGAGGCACAATCAAAATAAGAAGAAACAGCTGGAAACATCAGTTAATAAAATAACTGGAGTATGGTATGTACAAAGTATGAATCTAAGAAAACTGGAAATTGTCAAAAACCAAATGGAGAGCATAAAGATAGATATCCTAAGCATGAGTGAGCTAAAATTGACTGGTATTATCCAGTTTGAATCTGACAGTAATAGCTTTACAATGCTAGGAATGGCAAATTTAAGAGGAATGGCATTGCATTCATCATAAAAATAAAACATTTCAAAATCCACTCGAGGTACAATACTGTCTGTAATAGGATAATGTCCATATGCTTACAAGGAAGATAAGTTAATACCACTATTATTCAAATTTAAACCAATCACTAAACTAGAGATGATAAAACTGAAGAATTCTACCAACTTCTTCAGTCTGAAATTGATCAAACATGCAATCAAGATGTACTGATAATCACTGGCAATTGGAATGCAAAGATTGGAAACAAAGAGGAAGGATCAGTAGTTGGAAAATATGGTCTCAGTGATAGAAATGGTACTTGAGATAGCATGACAGGAGTTTTGCAAGACCAATAACTTATTCGTTGCAAATACCATTTTTAAACAAAAATCAACTGACAATACACATGGACTTGACCAGATGGAACGTCCAAGAATCAAACTGAAAACATCTGTGTGGAGAAACAGTGCAGAAACTCAATATAGTCAGCTAAACAAGACCAGGAGCAGACTGTGCAACAGAACATCAAGTGCTCCTACACCAATTCAGACTGAAGCTGAAGAAAATTAAAGTAAGTCCATAGAAAGCCAAAACATAACCTTGAACATATCCCACCTGAATTTAGAGATGATCTCATGAAGAGATTTGATGCATTAGAAAGTACTGACTGAAGAACAAAAGAGTTATTAGATGACATCAACAATTTAATATAGAAAGAAGACAAAAGCTCATTTTAAAAACAAGAAAAACAAAATGGATGTCCGAAGAGGCTATGAGCTTGTTCTCCAGTGTAGTAAAAGCTTTTGAATAAAATAATAAAGTTAGTTGAGATGCTAAGCTGTCAAAATTGTATCCTACAGAGGAGGAACAAACAAGATGGCGGATCGAGTGGATGTATAGCAGAGAGCTCCGCCAACAATAACAGAATACCAGACCAAGCAGGTTCAGGGGATGGTCCCAGAACTCTGAACCACATATAAAGGAATACTTAGAAGTTTAGAAGGCTCACAGCTGGGGAAATTTGTGGCAGAAGCAAGAAATCTATTGCTTTCTAGTCCGGGACGCTCAGCTGCTCCAGGAGCCGCCATCTTGGGTGAGACCACGTGGGGAAAGGATCTGAGCAGCCACAGACGCCTGGCAGTACCACTGAGAAAAAGGTGTGGACATTCTTTTCTTTTGATAGCTATTCATTGGTCCCTTGCTGTCTGCACACCTCCATTAGGGTGACTTTGGGGTGCCTGAGCTAGTGGGCACCCCAGCCCAACCCTCGGAGGGTTCTACTACGCATGCGCACAGATCTCCTCGAAATGTAAAGAGACAGTTTCCAATTAAAACCAAACAGCCACAGCCGGCCCTGAATTGTTTCAACTAGAAAAAAGGCCTGAACGGGGATTGTGGAGCGGGACAAGCAGACAAAAGAGGAAATAGGCCGAAAATTAAATACTAAGTTACTACAAAACAACCAACAGTGGTATCTTGAAACTTCTCAGGAAGAAGAGTGAAAAGGGAAGCCCATTTCCTGATCACATCTACCTGGAGGCATTCAGAAAGCAT